TCCAGGGCGACTCGCAGGAAAAACACAATATTCCGATTTCATTCCTACTTCAATAATTAAGGAATTACCAGGAGATACCATACGTAGTCGTTATGTTAAAACAATTCAGTCACATCACATAAGAACTAGCCAAATGTACGATTTAAATGACATAACGTACACTCAAGATCAAATCACAGAGCAAATACAACAAAAGGATCTATATACGAAAATCGAAATAAAATTATATATGTTTTTCGTTATCGGAATAATAACATTATTATTGGTAATCATAATAAATATTAGTTGTATTATGTGGTATAATAAACGAAGAACTTTCAAAAATGACAATACAAAACTAACACCATATTCAATTCACATGGAGGACAAAGGGACTCAGGTCAACATAGAAGAACACTCCATGGAAGCCACAGCACCAAATGTGGAAGATCTAGCATTAACTCTAAAGGAAGAGAATGAGGAAACCTCATTTATGTATCCCAAATTAAAACTTTTTACTAAATCATAAGGGGTTAGCTAGTCATTATTCTAATTATTTTTTTCAATTATCTTATTTTTTTTATTTTTTTTTATTGGGAAAGTCAGAGACTTTCAACTTAGAGTGGAGGGATGTAGTAAACCCAAGGCTAGGCGTATTTTATAATCAGCATTTAATTAATCAATATTTAATAATCAAAAATAACTTATTACGCATATTAATAAATTCGCCAAGGTCCAGCTAAATTTAATAGGTAATCAAAATAATATTTTGATTATTTAATAGATTAAAATAGTAAAATAGATAATATATTAAATTCGCATATACGCAGGAAAACCAGGGTAAAGGTGAAAACAACAAGTAGTTTCACGTTTTTACATAATAATGCTAAATTGAGGGCAAAATAAAGTAATATTAGAATTAGGCCACTTTTACGTCATTGGAACCTGTATAAATACGGGTTGAGAATTTAGCATTATTCAGATGTAGATAGGTAGTTAGACTGATCATTTCCCCTGTTAAATAAATTATTGCTCGTCGTGGACTTTGTTACAGCCACATCGCCGCGAGTATATAATTCTTAGCCCAGAATAACTTGTTATTTTAATTTTTTGTGTTTTAACTGTTTGTTAATTTATTGTGATAAATTAATAAAAATAGTAAGTTTATAAGTTTAATATACCAGTGTTAAATTTATTCATCTACCTATCTCTCTCAACCTACGTCTCAAGATTTCATACAACGTGCTACGTCGTTAAATAATTAATGTGTTACCGATCGTAGTGTCCTGCACAACGCTCGCTACAAGATGGTTCGGAATGAATGGTTAGAGTTTGTCTCGCACCACGGAATCGATCGGAACCAAGTACTCGCGATGTCAAAACTGTGTTCGAGACATTTCGATGATGACGACTTCAGGGTTACAACCGTTCGACGTATTCTCCGCCGTCACGCGGTACCGAGGAATGCCGTGTTACCAGATGCGCCAGTAGCAGTGGTCGAAGACGTCGTTGGTGATACCGTCGAGGTGGAAGAGGTAACGGTGAACGACGTTGACTTGGTCGACGAACAGATCATCGAAGAAGACTTGATGGCCAACATCGTTGTCATTGAAGAACTGATTGCCGCACGAGTTACCGCGCCGGCACCCGCCCGCTTATTCATCGGACCGATGGATCGCGTTTGTCCTCACTGCTGCGCGAGACATTTTATAGGTGAGCATTATATTTGTTGTGGAGATGGTAAAGTTTTGTTGACAGGTGACAGAGCGTTGCGAGAGGTTCCACTTGCACTGCGGAGGCTGCTCAGCGAAGACGGCCCGGAGAATAGGTATTTTCAGAACGAGGTCCGTCAGTACAACAATGCCATAGCGTTCGCGTCTCTGGTCACACAAGATTTCCAGGCACCCCCAGGACGAGGACCCAGAACGTTCGTCATGCACGGCCAAACGTATCATCTGATCAGTGACGCGGCCGCCGGACCGGACGCCATTCCACGGTTCTGTCAACTGTACTTCGTGGACACGCGGTTGGCGACCCAGAGCCGCATTCGAAACCCCGTCAACTCCGCGTGCAGGCCGGATCTTTTGGAGAGACTGGACATCCTGCTGAGAGAGATCAACCCGTACGCCCAAATGTTCATGTATATGACGGAAATATGGAACAGAGAACAGTTTGCGGCTGCGGTGGAAAATCCGGCGAGACCGCCTCGGACTGTAAGTATGTATTTTGTACGCGATTCCAGGGACCCGGGACGACGCAACGAGCCGGCCGTGCGTGAGATTGCTGCAGTATTCATTGGAAATGACGGCGATCCTCCGGAAAACGTGGACTTTGTTGTGTACGATCGGAATCCGAACCCCAACGTCAACTACCGGCGTATACCTTCCACCAGCCGTCATACCGACCCATTGCTCTATCCGCTATTATTCCCGCATGGCGAACGCGGATGGGCCACGTTCATGCCGCACGAAGGACCACGCCGCACCCGCGTCAATCAAAACGTTTCACCGAAGGAGTATTCGTTTATCGTTTGGCCGTTCGTTACGACGGCTTAAACAAGCCGAACGCTCGGTTCAGTGCTATTCATAACAGTCGATTTTTGTTTCAGCAATATGTGAGTGACCATTATGTCAGAGTCGAGGCGAGCAGGTTGAGCTATTTGCGAAACAACCAGGACCAGTTGCGCTCCGAATCCTACCAGGGTCTGATGGACCATCTCGCCGTACAGGACGTTCCGCAGGATCAGCAACACGCCGTTGGCCGTCGCGTCATACTGCCCTCTTCCTTCGCAGGCAGTCCGCGTAGCATGCAACTCAATTATCAAGACGCCATGGCTATTGTGCGAAAATTTGGTAAACCCGATTTATTTATTACTTTTACGTGCAACCCTAGGTGGCCTGAAATCGTGGAAAATCTACCTCCGAGAGTGGTATCGTCTGACAGACCGGAATTGGTGTCCAGAGTGTTCAACCTCAAACTGCAGGATCTTATGCGCGATATAACCGAACATCACATATTCGGCAGGGTCGAAGCTTTTGTATACGTGGTCGAATTCCAAAAGCGGGGTTTGCCGCACGCTCACATTTTGTTAATTTTGCAGGAAATGTACAAACCGAAGGTCGCCGAGGATGTAGACCAACTGATTCGAACCGAGATACCCGACCCAGACACCGAGAGAGAACTCTACGACATTGTGGTAACCAACATGATGCATGGACCTTACGGAGTTTTAAACCCAGTGTGCTCCTGCATGGTAGACGGGAAATGTCAGAAAGATTTTCCCAAACCTTTCAACAGCAAAACGCAGTTCAGGAGCGCTGGAGGTTATCCTGCCTACAGACGTAGAGACAACGGCCGTGCAGCTTTAGTGAGGAACAGAGAGCTCTTCAACGATTCCGTTGTGCCGTACAACCCTTATTTGTTACTGAAATACAATGCGCATATCAATGTGGAAGTGTGTTCGACAGTTAAAAGCGTCATTTACCTGTAGAAGTACGTATACAAAGGTCATGACGTGGCCACAGTTCGGGTTTGCACTAACGACGAAATTCAGAGGTTCATCGACACGAGGTACGTGAGCGCACCGGAAGCGATCTGGAGACTATTCTCTTTCCGTATGCAGAACAGGAGCCATGTCATTGTTCGATTGGCTGTACATTTAGAAGGTAGACATAATGTTTTTTTCAGGTCCGGTGAACTGATACAACAGGTCGAACGAGCAAGATTTCGAGACACCAACCTTACCGCATACTTCCGCCTGAACGCAACGGATCCAAAGGCTCGACAATACCTGTACCACGAAGTGCCCAATCACTATTGTTGGAATGTTTCAACATGCACTTGGACTAGGAGAAGAACAAACACTGGCGACCGGGTCATAGGTCGAATGTATTCGGTAAGTCCGTTAGACCGCGAGCGTTTCTACCTTCGTTTGTTGCTTGTACATAGGCGGGGCTGTGTGTCGTTCGCCGACGTGAAGACTGTTGACGGCGTGCTTCATCCCAGTTACGAAGCAGCCGCGACGGCACTTGGGTTGCTCGAAGATGATACGGCGTGGAGCCGCTGTCTGGCAGAGGCCTGCCAACACACGACACTCCACGTCAAGTTCGGGCCCTCTTCACAATCATCTGCGTGTACTGTTTGCCGACCAATCCGCTGGGACTTTACAATGGTGTTGAGGAACATTTGATGTCGGATTTCTTGCGAAACCAGCCGGAAGACGCTGCTAGGGCGGCTTGTCTTAACGCCATAAATCATTTACTCGGTACCCACGGTAAATCGCTTGCTGATTTTGGTTTGCCTGTTCCAAACGTGATCGAAGAACTTCCAGACGCGGTACATGACGCTATTGGTGAAGCGGAGCGGGGTGATGTGTTACTCCAGCAGCTCAACGTCGAACAGAGGGCTGTGTACGATCGCGTGATGGCCGCAGTATTGGACCCCCGTCCGAGCGCCAAGGTCTTCTTTGTTAACGGCCCCGGTGGAACTGGTAAAACGATACTCTACTTCTGTCTCATGTCTGTGTTGCGTGGCCGAAACATGAATGTACTGGCGGTGGCGTTCACCGGGATCACGGCCGGTCTGTTGGACGGTGGAAGGACTGTACATTCCACCTTTGGTTTGCCTTTCGGAGTGCTCACGAACGAGTCCACTTCCACAATCAAATTGCAGTCTCGCATGGCGCACAGGATTCGCGACACTGCGCTCATCGTCTGGGAC